CGCCCCCGAGAGAAAAAAAAAAAAAAAAAAAAAAAACGAACAAACAGAAAAAAAACAGCTTTCACCAACCTTGCACAACTCCTGAAGCTTTTCCCTTAAGTTTTAGGTCCAGTTGGGGCAATCCTTCCACTCCCGCTGCCCCAAATCTCCACCCAGGGGCAGTTCACAAGATGCAGAAAGCACAAGTTCAGGCACCGAGTGTGCATTTTCTCAAGGAACCTAGAAACATGAGTGCCCAGCACACGGTCTACTACTTCCAGATAAAGACGGCAGCGGGTGACCTGCCTGGAATGAAAGCTGCACTGATTCACCCCCTGCTCCTGAGTTAGCAAATACCACCCCAAGTAGACCTTGCCAGGAGTGCTCATCACCTCGCTAACTAGCAGCAGGGCTCCACTGTCTCCTCCCTCTGGTTCCTTCACCCACTCATTACTAGCAACTGAAGGCTTTGAACCAGGAGAGGCTGAGCAGCCGCCCCAGGGTGTAGGAGTTAGAAGCAAGGGGCAAGTAAGATGGGCCCAAGACCACCACTGACCGGGGTAAGGGCCACAGCAGCCTAGACAGAGTGCATACCACTAGAAGGATCTGCCCACCATGGGCCTCCTCCCAGATAGGGGTTGCATGACTACATTCCAGGGAAAGAACCAGGAGCCCCCGGGGACCAGTCGGAGCTGCCCATCCACATCTCCCACTCACTCGGGGGCTACAACAGAACAGTAACTTAGCACCCAGGCCTCCTGCAAGGATTAAGAGGGATTATAAGGGCTGGCTCTGTGGCTGGTGGTTTAGACAAGTGGATCCCACATAGCCAACTGCATAGTTTGGGGCCAAGATGCAGCAGCTTAAGACACAGGCCAGGTGAAGCCAGTAGGTGGTGTGGTGGTTAAGGTATGGATTCCTACAGGGCTGAGTGCAGTTCAAGTCCCGGACCTGGTAACTTTCTCTCAGTTTCGCTTGCTCTCTCTAGAGTACATGTGCCTTTACAGCAAATTATTTTTAAAAAAAAGGACCAGCAGATGGCGTAATGGCAGTGTCGCTGGACTCTCATGTAGTCGACCACGGTTCAAGTCCCAGACCTAGTGGCTTAAACTCATGCCAGGTGCATATGCGTGAGTGCCCAAGATCCTGAGAGGAGAAGGGATTGCATCCTGGCCATGCCTGCTGGGGGGAGCGGGGTGATTTCTTGCTTTCTATCTCTCTGGCAAGCACATGTGCCCTATAGCAAAAACCTCTTCAAAAAAAAAAAAAAACCCACTCACACTGGGCACACGTGCGTGTGTGCCCAAGATCCCAAGAGGGGACTGGAGGAGAAGGGATTGCATCCTGGCCATGCCTCCTGAGGGGAGGGGGGTGATTTCTTGCTTTCTATCTCTCTGGCAAGCACATGTGCCCTATAGCAAAAATCTTTCTTTAAAAAATGATAATAAATAAAATTATATAAGTAATTCTTAAAAAAGAAAAAGAACAAGCCAGGTCCATGGGCATTCGCACCCAAAATCCCAAAGAGAGAGAGAGATGGAGAAGGGATTGTAGCATGACCACTGTTTCCATGCTTTCCCTTCTTCCTGTCTCTGGCAAGCACCCACGACCTCTAGTGTCAAGAAAACCAAGACGGCTGGGCAAGGGACATGACGCATGGCAAGCGCCTACTGGAACCCGGCATACGGCAGCAATGCTCCACTCAGCCATTACTGCAAGCCGTGCCTTCCAACCCTGACTACTATGGGGGGTGGTGTGTGACAGAGCAGCTCCCATGTGGACCTGGGGCTGCGAGACTTCTCAGCAGTTGCCAAGAAGGTGAGGGTGCTTTTCTCCCTTCTGACCCTCACATCACCCAGTCTTTCAGGCCAAACCCATCCAGAGCCCCAGGGTCTGGCTCCCATCCTGCAGTTCAGGGGTGAGGAACATGGCTGGTGGCTAACAATGGAGAGGACTATAAAGGAAGTCTGTTTTTAACCTTCAACCTTAGAGTTGCTTGGATAGACCACGGTCAAAGGAGGGGGTGAAATGTGGAATTAAGGACTTAGGTAACAGTCTAAGAAAAGGGGAAGTTAAAAAAAAAAAAAAAAGGAAGAAAAAAGCGAAAGGGGAGACTGAATCAGCATCCATGAAGCTGCTTAAGGTGGAATGGAAGTGAAAGTCCTCCACACCCATGGGAATTCAGGAGTCATCCGCTGGTCAGCGATGAGCAGGCTGGGCTGCAAGGACGCGGGTCCAGCTTGTGTACACCTAACACTCGGTACCTGCAAACTACCGTTTCTGCGTTCTTCAGTTCTATCCAAGAGTACAGTCCTGCTACAAAGCCCAAGTACACAGAAGCCACCGGGGAGAAGCCAAGAGCTGGAGGGCAGCAGCTAAGTGGGCATATCTCCCCCTAAAGGGGGTGTGTTTAAGGTGGCTGCTTTCCACAGTACTCTGTCCCTCTTCCAACACCAGCCTTGGAATGTTTGAAAGGTCATTCTGTTCAGTAAGACCATCACCTTCTGAAAAGCCATTAGAGGTCGCAGAGCTCTCCACAGGGGTGGGACTCTTTTTTTTTTAGTTCCCAGAGCACCCCCCACCCCACGCCCGCCTGCCTTTTCCCAGGGGATGGCACTGGCATGGACATCCTCTCCGCGATGCTCTGGCCATACCTCGCTTGAACTCCTCCAGGACAGCGTCTAGCTTGGTGTCATTGAAGACGAAGTGGAGAGGGTGGTTGTAGAAGCGGGTGATGGTGCTAAGCGGCGTACAGTCCTCGGGATCCACGAAGGCCAAGTCTTTGAGGTAGAGCATGTCCACGATGTTGGAGCGCTCCTCCTCGTATACAGGGATGCGCGTGTGGCCGCTCTGCATGATGCTGGCCAGAACGCCAAAGTCCAGCACGGCGCTGGCGTCCAGCATGAAGCAGTCTTCGAGCGGTGTGAGCACGTCCTCCACGGTCCGGCAGCGCAGCACGCCCTTGCTCAGGTCGCTGTAAGGGTCGCCGCCGCCGCGCGCCAGCTCCAGTACACGCTCGCG